TTACAGTACTGTACTAGGAAGTCAGAGAACTGAAGGTTCAAATGCTCTCTGGGTCAGGGTACCTGGAACCTGGGCTTGCTTCCTGGACAAGTGCCCTCATCAGACAGCTATTGGGGCGTTAAGTATGGGAGAACCTGGCTTCTCCCTCCCCATGGCTTGTGCTGGGAGCCACATGCCAGCCCCAGCACAGCCTCCTGCACGCTCAGCAGCTGTGCAGATAGGTTCACAAACTGTAGGTAGCCTGCTGCTCCCTCCTGGCTCGGACAGTCTGCCCCTTGGCATGCCCAGCTTGTAGCAGCAGCTGCCCCAAGCCTGGGCTGCAGACCCTCCTCTGCCTGCAGCCCAGTACCTTGCTGAGTCTCTGGGCCTGCTTTACCAGCCGGCAGGGAGACCCGAGGCCATCAACTGCTGCCTCCCCACTGCCCAGTGAGCTGTGGCCTCGCTGTGCTCACACTAACGGCTGACTAAACAGCCTACCCCCCTTCTTCAATGACCCCGCACCAACAGGCCTCCCCTTTGGGCCGATTCATTACCTGCTGTCATCACTCATCAGCCCCCCCTGCGGGTGATGGCCCCAACCTCGCCACAGAAAGTGGAGCAGGGGCTCCTGCCCAGGCTTTAACACAGCCGTCCCTCCACTGGGAACAAAAGCAGCCCAGGCAGGGAGGCTGTGGCCTGCTCCAGCCCTTTATTCTGGGCTGACAATAGAGGATGGAGTTGGCGGGATGTTGGGGAGGGAGAAGGGCCCATTGATGGGGGTTATGATCTCATCAGAGCTCCCTGAATGACTGACAGCCAGATAATCGCCCACCCCTCCTGGAGCCCCCAGCCCCTCTGCCATGGGACTCATCCTGCTCTCCTTGAGGCTGCTGAGGGGAGCAGGAGCATGACTGAGCCCCAGAAGCTATGCTGCTGGAGAGGGCTGGGGGCAGGGAGCACAGCAGATGCCCCCGGCCCATCATCAGAGGATTTCCTGCTGCTCCCCGAGGGGAGGGCTTGTGTTGAGCATGGCCAGCTGGACTGCAGGAAGGCAGCACCGAGTGGCCACACCAAACCCTGCGGCCATTAGCCCCCTACCATGGCTCTTGGGCCCACAGCCATGCCCCTGCCATAGCCGGCTGGCTGCCAGGCCCCTGCCATGCTTTGCCAGCTACCATGGACACCCTGCTGCTCTGTCTCTATGTAATCAACCTGCTGGGAGCCTCTGTCCCATTCTCTCCAGTGTGTAAAGGGGGTGATTCAGGGTCATGGAAAACTCGTGGGGACAGCCCCCCATGTGTCCTGGCAGCAAACAATGGTCCCTTTCTATAGCGGCCCAGAGGAGATCAGGGGGGAGGAGGGTGGCATCAGGCTCTGCAACAAAGATGCTGTTTACAGCCCATCTGCAAGACCCCCAACCCTCACCCTTTCCCAGGACACGGGCTGCAGCAGCTGGGAGTGGATCAAAGCTGGTGTTCTCCCCCAGGACACAAACACAATGTGCTTTCCCCCAGCCGTGTAGGCTACACCAGTGGGCCATCTGGGACACCTCAGATCCCTGCACCCCCACTATGGTCACACCAGCAGCTGCCCTTCTCGGCACCTCCTGCGAAATCCCACAGAGACAGGAATGACACAAACATGAAGTGCAGCTTCCAGAATTGGAGGTCGCTGAAGGAGGCCGTCAACTGTTGCAGGTTTGTTATATTAGACAATATGCTGGCGATGAAGCCCAGGAGCCCTTAGTCTCGGTCCTTCCTGCTACAACCACGATGCAAACACCAGGAGTCCCAACTCCTACCAGCCTCTTTTCTAACCACTAGCTTCACTCCCCTCCCAGAGCTTGGGAGAGATCTCGGGAATCTGCCTCCTCGGCTGCTGCACTACACCATTAGGCCACGTTATCCCTTGCTGTGCTGCACTACACCATTAGGCCACGTTGTCCCTTGCTGTGCTGCACTACACCATTAGGCCACGTTGTCCCTCGCTGTCTGTACTGCTCAGTCTGGGGATGAGGGGAGACTCAGACCCCTCCTTGCTCAGCCTTGCTGGGAGATTTAACCAAAGCCGCACGCTGGCACTGGGGCTTACTGGAATAAAAGTGAGATTGCTAGGAAAGGGACAGAAGATCTGGAGGACAGGGACGGTGACTGGCAGGAGGATGGGGAACAGAAGCCAGAGAGAGCATGAAGTGAGAACAGCTCCATTCTTAGAGAAACACAATCCCAGAGAGTTCCTGACTCGGACAACACCCCCAGCAGGGCACCTAGCTCTGGACAGCCCACCTCTAGGACAACCAGCTCTGAAGAGCCCCTTTCTCAGGGACTTCCCAGCTCAGAGATCCCCTGCATAAGGGATCCTCCACTGCATCATAGCTCAGATCTCAGGCAGAGAGGGCTCCCCAAGAAAGAGACCAGGGCACCGGGCAGGGGGGTCTGTCCCACCCTACTCCACGGCTGGCGGGGTCCCAGACAGCACTCACGTGAGAGCAATGGTGAAATGGAAGCGCTGGCGCAGCCCTTTGAAGGTGATGAAGGACTGGGGTGGAAAGCTGCGTGTGGTCATCTCGCAGTAGGGCTTCTCGTAGTCCCCCGATGGGCAGTCGCATTTGAAGCCGCCCACCAGCAGGTTAACACAGGTGCCGCCGTTCTTGCAAACGCCCGGCGTACAACGGCCCAGGCGGGCGTTCACCTCGCAGTACTCTCCTGAATGGGGAAAGTGAGAGAGGGGAAGCATCAAGGGCAGCACCAGTCACACAGCCCAGCCCCAGTCCATGTGTCCCATGCTAGTGGGTGGCACTGGAGCCTGCCAGCTCAGTCCCCTCCCACTCTGGCCCTTTGAGCACCAGGTGCCTTGCAAACACAGTCTAAAACATTTTTTGACGAGGGGGGGTTGGAGCTGCACAGCATCCTTGGATCAACCCCTCCCAATGCTTCTACATCTCAACAGCTTCACCTACGCCATCCAGTTGGTGAGTGGAAGCTCACAAACCCCTTCACTGAATGCCTTTGGGTCCTTGAAACCCTATTCACCAATGCCAGAGAATCATAGAAAAATAGGGCTAGATGGGACCTCATGAGGTCATCCGGTCCAGCCTCCTGCTCACAGCGGGATCATCCCTGTCTAAACCATTTCACTCGCGTGTTTGTTTACCCTGCTCGTGAAGATGAGATTTCACAACCTCTCCAGATACTCTGTTCCAATGTGTGACCACCCTTCTAACTAGAACATTCTTCCTAATTGTCCCTTGCTCCAAATTAAAACCACTTGTCCTGTCCCCTGCAGCCTCTGAGAAAAGTCTCTTACCTTCTTTATAACCACCCTTCAGGTATTTGAAGATTGCTGTTAAAGCCCCCCTTTCAGTCTTCTCTTCTCTATACCAACCAAGCACAGTTCTTTCAACGCTGTCTTGTAAGTCATGTTTCTGGACCTTTACTCTTTTTTTCCCCTTTCTGCTGGACTCTTTCCAGTTTGTCTACGTCTTTCCTGTAGTGTGGTGGACTACAGGAACTGTACATGGCCACTGAGGATGCTATCAAATGGTTCAGCGATTACACACACGCTGACTGACTTGAAGTACAGTACCCAAAATGGGACACAGTACTCCAGGTGAGACCTCATCAGTACTGAAAAAGATGGAAGGATCATTTCCTGCAACTTGCATGTGAAACTCCTGTTAATACAGCCCAATATGCTATTGCCTTCTTTTGCAACTAGGGCACACTGTTGGCTCATATTCAACTTGCAGTCTACTATAAGCTCCAGGTCCTTTTCTGCAGTGCTACAGATTTGGCAGACACTTCCTGGTTTGTATTTGTGCCTTTGATTGTTCCATAGGAATTTGCATGTGTCCTTATTGAAATTCATTCAATTAACACTGGACCATTTTCTACTTTACCAAGGTCATTCTGAATCCTAATCTTCTCCTCCAGTGTCTGCAACTCCATCCAGCTTACTTTTATCTGCAGCTCTGCAACTCTGTGCTCAATCATAGAAAAGTAAGCTGAGCAGGACCTCAAGGGACCATCTACTCCAACTCCCTGCTCAAGACAGAAGTCTAAACTCCCTGCCTAAACCATCCTACACATGTGTTTGTTTAAGCTGCTCTTAAAAGCTCTAGGAACAACTTTCACACAGTACTACACATAATGTCCCAAACACATGTGCCGGGGGATTGGAAACTGGCTAATGTGGTCCCAATTTTCAAGAAATAGAGGAAGAAGGACCCAAGTAACTATAGGCCCGTAAGCCTCACCTCAG